TCTTTGTGGCAGCCCCTCAAATATGAAAGGAAGCAAAGCTCCAGTTGACCAATTTGCAAATTAAACCAATAAACGAGTTAACGTAATGGACAGTGTTTATTAGGAATACAGCCAAGAATGTTAAAAAATAAAATACCATAAACCAAAATGTAAGGAAGAAAGCAACAGAGCTTTTACATAAAAGGCTGCTCCCAATAGTTTTCTTAATCAAATAGCCGCAGCTTAATTCTTATTCGGAAAACGCTGGAGTTTTCTTTCCGCACAGACATGGTTCGGTATGCAACGAGAAGATTAGAGGCAGGGGAGGGTTTCTGGCGACATTCCTGCCGGTTCGGTGCACACGCAATTTTGGTGCTCTCTCTCTCTCACGCACACAATTGTGCAGCTGCCTATTCTATTAGTTCTCCGCATGCGGAGAACATTTAAAAAGGTAAAAAAAAAGATGTCGCGACGAGTGGGGAAACAGTTCAGGGGCGTGGCGAGCATGCCGTCCACACTGGTTCGGAGATCCAGTCTCCGTTTCCACGATCGGTTCCACCAAACTGATGCGAACCGGTTAGGAACTCACCTCTGATTAGAGGGAAATCATAATATAACCTAATCCAGCCCTTCATCGTAACAGGCTGTGGAGAGGCACAATTTTTCCTTGATCCTTTCCCCAAGAACATTTTTATTTTTTTTACCTATCGGCTGTTTTCATGATTAAGATTTAGGATAATTGCATGATAACTACGAGTAAGGGTGGTCTATCCTGCAGAGGATGAATTTTTAGGGTTGGCATAATTTCAAAAGGCAGGCTGCATTATGTTGATTGGTTTCTGATCTGCGATCAGTCTTTGCTCTGATATTATTAGGGTGCTTTAATCTTCCGAAATGAAGCTTTCCTTTGCACTTGATTGGAGACAAAGATTAAGACAAACAATCCAAAGCATTTCAAGTTAAAAAAGAAAGAAAGAAAGAAAGAAAAAAGATCTTCCAGTGCAATCTGAACAATCTAACAGTTTGCTGGAGGATTAAATTATAAACATGGAAGTCATATTTTGGAAAGATATAAAGGATGATTGGACTTATTCAAGTGGCACTAGGGGTCCGGGTATTTTTTGGGCTCACTGAAACTTCAATTTACGCAGAACCGTCTTTTCAGGAAAGACAGTTACGTGGAAAGGAAGTGAGAATACGGAATGCATGCAGTAAGATCAACGTCAGGGAGAGGAATTTGTTCAATAAAAGACAATGGCGAATATATACAATCCGTCCCTTGAAATGGGCTCGAGGTTATAGCTTTACAAATAAATTAAAAGGAAGGCGGGGGGGGAAAACAAACCAACGACAACATCTCAACATTTACAAATACCACAGCAAAACGCTTCCTTCAGTCTGTAATTGTGATTCGGCAGGTTAGCCTGGATCGAATCTCAGTTCCTTCATCGAGCTACAAAGGTTGATCACATTGCATCGAAATGGAATCGGTGGGCTTCCTGCCTTTTCTCGCGATCATCCGCTTTCTGGAACAACGGCAACAATAAAACGATTATTTTAGGGGAAAAAAAAAAATAAATATGCAGCACCCAATGCTGATGATCAGAACTGTAAAAACCACACAACAAATGATTACCCGAAAAGAGACTGCTGGAATAAGGGGGTGGGCTTCAAAAATGTTAGCAAGGGGTTCTCTGCCCGGTTGCTGGATGGGTACGGGCGTGGCCTGCACCATGACAGGAGGGGCGTTTTTGCTCTCCCTGGGCTCTAGAGGCTTCCCTTGAGCCTCTGGGAGGGTGAAAATGCCCCCCCCCAGCCTCTAGAGGCCCTCTAGAGCAGTGTTTCTCAACCTTGGCGACTTTAAGTCCCGTGGACTTCAACTCCCAGAATTCCCCAGCCAGCATAGCTGGCTAGGGGATTCTGGGAGTTGAAGTCCACGGGACTTAAAGTCGCCAAGGTTGAGAAACACTGCTTTAGAGGCTAGAAACGGCCCCATTTCTGGATTCCCGAACTTCCGGTAGGCCCATTTTTCGCCCTCCCCGAGTTTCCATGCGCGTCCTACACTTACCTGCATTCAAACCACGTTGGGACTCCTGGGAGGAGTGCGGTGAGCGGTGACAGTCAAGGGTGGGATTTGGGGGTTCCCCGAACTGTACAGAACCTTAGCTAGAGTTTCTCCCGAACCCCTGCGAACCCCCAGCACCCCGACCCCGGCTTATAAATGCTTACTAAAACTCTTGATGGAGAGTAGTTTATTAGCCATCAGACGGAAGAATCTAGGCAAAAGTGGTCGCCATGAACCTAAACTCTTTGGCGCAAGGCCGTTGCTGGTCCATCAAGCTTCTTGATTTTGAGGCAATAAAATAAAAAGGAACACGTACAGGACAGAACATACATGCTGAATCTTGTGTGTGTGTGTGTGTGTGTGTGTGTGTGTGTGTTTGTGTAGCTTGAAAACTTCCCGTTCCAGTTTTATTTTGAACAGGGTATCTCTCTCTTGTCCTATTCACAATGCCCACTTTTGACCTAATTACGTGTGTTGGTGAAGAGACGAGGTGGCTCAGGGGCTAAGACGCTGAGCTTGTCGATCAGAAAGGTCAGCAGTTTGGCAGAATCCCTAGTGCCACGTAATGGAGTGAGCTCCTGTTACTTGTCCCAGCTTCTGCCCACCTAGCAGTTCGAAAGCATGGAAAAAATGCAAGTGGAAAAATAGGAACCATCTTTGGTGGGAAGGTAACAGCGTTCCGTGCGCCTTCCGGGTTGAGTTATGCTGGCCACTTGACCACGGAGACGTCTTCGGACAGCGCTGACTCTTTGGCTTTGAAACGGAGATGAGCACCACCCTCCAGAGTCAGGAACGACTAGCACATATGTGCAAGGAGAACATTTACCTCTGCCTTATGTGTTTTGGAAGAATTATCCTAACGGAACAATGCTATCAGTCTCATTAAAAGCCCTGAGAA